ATACCTGCTCCCTGTGAACACCAACTGCAGTTGTGCCCGTTACCCTGTGTTCCAACCACTTCACAGATGTGGAAACTGAGGCTCAGAGAGGGTTAGTGACCCTATCAAAGTCACAGCGCATCAAGGTTTGGTCAGGCTTAGGACCGCTGGTGACTTGTCACTCACTGACTGCAGACTTCAGCTGGGTCAGTTCCTGGTAGATCTTCTCCTGCCTGGACCTCTCTGGGAATTCACGAACTCCAGCCTTCAGCTGGGTCAGTTCCTGGTAGATCTCCTCCTGCCTGAACCGCTCCTGCCCCAGGGAGCTGGGGAGCTTGGAGACTGTGCCAGGAAAAAAGGAACTGCAATTATTAAACCCCTACTGTGTGCCATGCCCTGCACTGGGCCTCCAGGGGCATAGATTCTGGGAGCCAAGGTCTTGGTTAATCCCCTTTGAAAATGAGGAAGACCCTGACACCCTGAGAGGGCAGCAAAGAAGGGCAAGGGGAGCCTGGTCCTTCCTCTTCCTCCTTGTCCTCTTCCTCCCTCCCTCCCTTCCCCTGCCCAGAGTGGGAGGGGCCATGGAAGAGACCCGTGGAAACCCCAGGGAGCCGATGCCTGCTTTCAGCCCCACCTCCGCCCTGGAACTGACCAACCCTGGCTCTTTCCACAGCGAAAGACCCAGGCCTGGGACCCAGACCAAAGAGTCTTCCTGACCTTGGACGACGATAGTCACCAGGAGCACAGTAAGGAACATCAAGGCCAGAAACAGCAGCGCCAGGGGGCCGCGGCCCAGACACCCTGTGGGGGGTAGGAGGCTTGGCCTAGCACGCCAGTGTCCCCACCTCAGCCTGGCCCCAGCACCCACCTCCCGAGGACCCAGAAGCCCAGACAGGCATCCCCCAGTCCCCCAAGACCCTAGAGTCCCCGAGGCTCTCTCCATCTTCCCTGCCCCCCAACCCTTCTCTACCTGCAGAGCTTCCGGGTCCAGGAGTCTCGTGGGATCCTAAGTCTCTTGCAAAAAATCTGCTGCTGATGCTTCTCACCTGTTGCTCCTCTGAGTGGACAGACATCAACTCAGAGCCTGGGCAAGCTGAGCCAGAGCTGGCCAGCCCCTGGGCCCCTCCCCTGCGTCCCAGAGTCCCAGCCCAGCCTCACCCAGGCGACCCAGCTCTTTGGAGTCACTCATGTCATCTCACTGTCCCTCGACGTCCAGGTCTCCTGGGAACCACGGTTTTCATTGCCCACAGCACGATCCTCACTCCTTAAATCTACTCTCACACAGGAAGAGAAACAGGAACGTGGGTAGGGACATATTGCCAGAAAGGCCAGTGGGAGGGGTCAGAGAATGGGATGGGCCGGATCTCCCAGGAATTTCAGGGAGGTGGTGAGGGGTGGTCTGGGGTTCACGGGGAGAAGGACGTGCCCACTCATGACGTGGCTGAGCTGTGGGACGCTGTCAGTGAAGTCCAGTATCCTGTAACGGAAAGCTATGTTGTCACGCCCTCCATCTGGGGCAGAGGAGGGCAGGCAGTGCCTCCACGTTTCCTGGAACTACCAGCCCTCTGACCTCTAGTCTTTGCTGCCTTGTTCTGCTGATGTCTTCACTTATGGTGGTTTCTGCTGACTTTGGGAGTTGGGGCCGAATGACAGTTACTTGTTTATTCACTGCCTATTATAGTCGAGTACTTTCCTCACTGCTCTATACACTCATTGATTTAATCTTCCTAACGTGCTGCAGGTCATACATCCTTCATTTTAAAGAAGGGGGAAACTGAGGCACTTGGAGGTTAGGTCACTGGCCCAAGGTCACACAGCTAGTAAGTGGTGGAGCTGGGATTTGAACCCAGATAGTCTATCTCCACAGTCCACCACACTGTCAACCAAAGAGAGTCAAATAGTATCTCAGAGGAAACAAAAAACGATTCATAGCACCTTATTCAGAATAGTCCCAAACTGGAACAACCCATGTGGCCAACAGCAGTTGAATGAAAAAAAGAATTGTGGAATATCGACAGCATGGAATACTATACAGCAACGAAAAAGCAAAGTGCTGATACCTGCAACAACATGGATGAATCTCGCAAAAGAGTGAGAGGACCCAGAGAGAATGAGTACGTTGCATAAGATTTGATTTCATATGAATTTCAAGAAAGGGCAGAAGTAGCCTTGGTGGAAGCTGAAAACGGGGTTCCCTGGAAGGAGCCGGTGGAGATTGACCAGGAGGGGGTAGAACGGATTCTTCTGTGTGATGGATGTTCCACATTTTGGTCAGAGAAGTGCTTGCAGACGTGCGTCTGTATGTAAAACGTCTCGGGCTGTGTATTGCAGACTGGTGCATTGCGTTGTAAGTGTGCTCCATCTCGGTGTAAAAACGGACAACACAGAGGCAGCGTGCGATGGCTGAGTAGATGCGCACGTGGGACTTGCTCCTCCTCAGAGAACGCAGAGAGTAGATGATCACACTTCAAGTTGAGCATCTGAGAGAGAAAACTGGAATCCAGCAGAGAGGTGAGAGCAAACACTAGAGGCATGGAAGGACACGGGCATGTCCCCCGTCCAGCAGTCTGGCCAGAGTGCATTTGCTTTCATCGTGACCACCACTACTGCTGCCGCCACCTGAGAATGCCACCCACAGACCTGAGCATTGTCCCGCCCCATCCTCACCCCACCTCATCCGACGGTCTGACAACTGGCCTGGAACAACTGCCACCAGCACCCAAGCACACTGTGCAGAGACCTGAGTTCGCCTCACCCACTGACATCTGCACCCTCCTCCCAGAGGCCCAAGGACAGGTGCTCTTGGGCTGATGCTGGTGCCACTGAGATCCAAGGACTGGCCCACCTCGTGACCCTCTCCCCTGCAAAGCCTCCACTAACAAACACAGCCTAAGCCACTGAGGAAATTACAGACACCACCGATGTGATTTGCATCAAAGAAATCACACAGGGATTATACTATCACATGCAGCCAGAGGGGAAGCTAAAGTGTCCCGCCCAGCTGCCGGCACAGATGCCTCAACAGGGAAACGTCTTCCCCTGTGAAAGCCATTGCCAAATACTGGAAGAAGTGACAGCTACACCAGGTGCACAGTTATCGATGTAGGGACACAAGAAACGTGAAAAAGCAAGGAAATATGACACCTTCAATGGAACACAATAATTCTCCAGTAACAGGTTCCAATAAAGAAGAAATGTATGAAGTGCCTGAAAAAGAATTCAAAATAATGATATTAATGAAGTTCAGTGAGATACAAGAGAGCACAGACTGGCCAGCTGTGGTGGCTCGAACCTGTCATCCCAGCACTCTGGGAGGCTGAGGCAGGTGATTGCTTGAGGTCAGGATTTGAAGTTGAGCCTGAGTAAGAGCGAGACCCCATCTCTACTAAAAATGGAAAAATTAGCTGGGAGAAGTGACGCGTGACTGTAGTTCCAGCTGCTTGGGAGGCTGAGGCAGGAGGATCAGTTGAGCCCAGGAGTTTGAGGTTGCTGTGAGTCATCATGATGCCACTGCACTCTAGCTGGGCTGATGGACAAAAACTCTGTCTCCAAACAAACAAAAAACAAACAAAACAGAGTGAGCACAGATAAACAATACAAAGACTAGCTGGATGTGGTGACATGTGCCTGTAATCCTAGCTATGTGGGAGGCTGAGACAGGAGGATCACTTCAGCCCAGGAGTTCCAGACTAGCCTGGGCAACATAAAGAGATCCTGTCTCCAAAACAAAACCAAAAACGCAAAGAAATCACAACAACAAGTCACGGTATGAACGAGAAACTCACCAAAGACATAGATACCATAAAAAAGACCCAAAGAAATCCTGGAACTGAAGAATTCAATGAACGAAATAAAAAAATATAATTGAGGGCTTCAATAATAGACTAGATGAAGCAGTAGAAAGAATTTCAGAACTTGAACGTATGTTTTTTGAAATAACTGAGTCAGACAGAAAAGAAAGAAAGAGAAAGCATTTGAAAAAACCATGAAGGAAGCCTACATGACTTATGGGACACCATAACGTGACCAAATGTTTACATTGGGCATACCCATAGAGAAGGGACGTATAAAGGCATAGAAAACCTATTTAACAAAATAATAACTGAAAACTTCCCAAGCCTAGAAAGAGATTTAGACATTCAAACATCAGAAGCTGAGAGAATTCCAAATAGATACAACCCAAGGTCTTGCTCAACACACATTATAGTGAAACTGTCAAAAGTCAAAGACAGAGAATTCTCAAAACAGCAAGAGAGAAACATCTGGTCACATATAAAGGAACGCCCATCATATGGTTTCAAGTTCCTAGGCCAGTAAGATTTGCTGACCAGAACTTTGCAACTTTCTATTTCACTGAATCATCCCTTTCGAGTTTTTTTTTTAGAAACAGCTGAACCTCCTTGAAGCCACGAGATAACTACAATGCCACTGACCACCTGTTTGTTGAGAGAAGTCAAGATACGTGGCACCCAGCCAGATCTTGCCTGAGGATCCACTGAGCAACCTACTCCCCACATCCTGCCTGTGCACAAGACCAGATGAATGACCAATATTAACCCCTAGCTCGTACTACTAAAATCTCTGCCCTGGGAGAGGCTTACCCACCATTTTCTGATCACATCATGTATGCGCCAGTATGATTTCTCACTACACTTGCGTGCTCTACACTCTGCCCCAAACATGCAATGGTGCTCACTCACTGCATACATTGTTCATGTCACCTCTAGAAGATCCCCTGACCCTGTCGGCTGGGGAGGCAGATGTGAGGCAGTTCTTGCATATCCTGGCTGATGTCCTCTGCAATAAGTCTCCCTTCTTCCTTGACAATGCTCAGCGTCTCAGTAACTGCCTTTCTGTGCAGCAAGCAACTGAGCCTAGGGAAATGCCCTCTGTGGGTTTCTTAACAGTTCCTCCATGTCTTTACACGGCTTGAGAGCTCATTTCTTTTCAGTGCTGAATAATGTTCCATTGTCTGGATGTGCCACAGTTTATCTATCCACTCCCCTATGGAAGGACATCTTGGTTGCTTCTGAGTTCGGGTGGTTATGAATGAACTCCAATGAACATCCTTGGGCAGGTTTCTGTGTGGACATACGTTTTCAGTTTGTTGGAGAATTTTAAGCAGGGAGTGGAGGGGTGTCATGGGAGAGATATGGTACCTTCGCAATTTATTCTGCATCTGAGATAATTTTGTCCTTTTCTTTCGTTTCTTCCTGAGTTGTTTAAGCTCTCTCTTTATTTTCCCCTATTTTCTATTCTGCTCCCTTCAGCATTTAGCTTTTTAGTGTGTGGATTTTTGATTGAAGGTCGTTTTTCATATCCTCAGATGCTTGTTTGACTGTGTTTAATTTTTATGGGGGTGTTGACCTAACAATGTTCCTGGGCTTCATCAGCCTTTTGTGGCAGGTGGGGCGGGGGTGTGGGGCTGAGTACTTTCCTGTAGTTGATTTGCATGGATTTTCATTTACTGAATTTTTACAACCGCTTGCTATTGATTCCACACTTTTCTTTTGTTCATTTTTAGTGACTGGGTTGTTTTTACAAAAGATCCAGATTAACCGCACCCACTTCTGTCAATATAGCAACATCAACTTATTTAGTGGAAGCTTCTGTTTGTCTTGTTCGCCACGGAGATGGATGGTGAGACCTCCAATTTTGTGGTTCTCTTTTGCATTGAAGGGTCCTAAATATTCTTTATTTACTTGCAGCTCTGCTCTCTTTATTTTCACTTTTTTCTCCCAGGAGCTATGCTTCTTTTTTTTTTTTTTTCTTCCTTTTTTAGAGATAGGAGTCACTGTGTTGCCCAGGCTGGAGTATAGTGGCCTGATCATAGCTCACTGCAGCCTTGAACTCCTGGGCTCAAGCGATCCTCCTGCCTCAGCCTCCCGAGTACCTGGGACCACAGGTGCACAACACCACACCTGGGGAATTTTGTTATTTTTGTTTTGTAGACATGGGGTCTCACTATGTTGCCCAGGCCCGTCTCAACCTCCTGGCCTCAAGCGTTCCTCCTGCCTCAGCCTCCCAAAGTGCTGGGATTACAGGTCTGATCTCCGAGCCTGTCCCCCAGGAGCATTTTGAAGATTACCTCTCAGTTCTTGTAAGTTTCAGCATTCTCTGTCTTCGAGTTAAGCATGCATCTGCATGGCTGTGCTTTCTCCTCTTCTTGTCTTGCATTCTTTTGGGAGGAAATATTTGGAAGAGAGACATCTAAGTGGCTGAGTGGCCACCAACATCCTCCCCATCGTGGGACACTTTGACATTTTTCATGGATGTTATG